TCTTTTCACTGCCAACTGGTTTCGAGTAAGTTGGGATGATATTCACCGAACCGCTTTCCAACAACACTCGGAAACCTATCCCCAAAAGCCCTGAGTGTTGGCAGAGAAAAGAATCTAGGAGGACTGAAACGTCCATCTAAGCGGGAAGCTGTCTGGATACAGCCGTGGGGCTACGTGAGACCGAAAGAAGCTCGAAAGGCTCATGCGTCGCCTATGAGCCGGTGCGAACTTTGCGGGGAGTTCACTAAGGAAATCCCATCGACTCAACAGGTCGGCATCTATGTTAAGTGGCCCTGGAATATGGGACACTTCGCAAGTTAATCTTTCAGAAACAAAAATGTAAGCAAGGTGTTCCACGAAATGGCAAAGCGGAGTGGATGTGGTGAACAACTTGTTAATCGAAGCTTCAGTCGCGACGTTGTCGCTGAGGCTCTGGAAGTGCAGGGGTATGCTAACAGTGGGACATATTGCAAGGCACAGCAAGATTAGAAAACCTTGGGCTAATGTTTCGTAGCATGCAATGTCCCGTTGTGCATCTGGTCGGACGGGGACATCAAATGGTTTAAGATCAAGAACTGTCCAACTCTCGGAAAACCAAAAGACAAGATGATTGATTTCAATGAGACCACCCACTTGGAAACACTCTCCGGATGCTGAGGCATCCGCTGAAGCTCGGACGCTCACCTGAATCGGCGAGCGCATACTGCGGAGAGGAGCAGAGAGTTTGAGCCAATCTAGCCATAACTTCAGGACTCTCTTGCTGTGGCCCGAAAGCTTTGTGGAAAATGCGGGATCGATGCGAACAGAGCATTTCCGCTTTATGCGAGGATGCCTTGGCCTCCAATACCTTCAGAAAGCTGACTTGACGTGGTGCACCTCTGCCTTGTCACCGGCGGATATTCTTCCAGAACAATGTGCTCCATGAGAAATACGATGCTCAAGTTTACCATGCTGATGATCTTAACTGGCCAGAAGATTGGAGTCCGCTCCTTATTTGTGAAAGGGGCGTGCTACGCGAGGTCCATTTGCAGCCCTTCATGCGCCCCATCGCTGTCGTCAGTGACCTTGCTCTACGGTACAGCTGGTCTAGCTACCACCCTTCTGCACTGTTGTGGCGCATGTCTTATTGGAGCTCTCGTGAACGATTTGCATTTTTGGCTAACCTCAGTGACGAGAAAGGTATTCCTGCCTTTCAGTGGAGTACTATTATCCCGCCTATTTACCTACCAGCCTGGATGCACTTGCTTAAGTGTTTCGCCATGGGCTCCACCAACAAAGAAAAAGACGTCGCGTTACAAGACGTTCTCCCACTTTTCCACAACCAGAACATTGAAGTGCCTTTCAGATTTCTCACAGATCAAGAAGTTCTCCAAGTTTCAGGGCTTAGCCAGAATTTTGCGAATGTCAGCAAGTTCAGCTATCTTCTCACATCTCGTACTGTTCGGTCCTTCGTTGGCAATTCCTTTCACCCAAAACTTGTGAGTATAGCGCTTGGCACCCCAGAAGACTTACAAGAATGGGTCACGGTCAGAGGTCGGCGTTCATGCGCCACCAATGTTGCTCATCCCGATACTGTTCGAAAGTACTACATTCAGTTACGGCAAGAGATTGCCAACTCCTTGGAGCGTATCAAGCATGTCCCCAAGTCTTCGCTAGAGCCTGAGCCATACAGGCACCATGACTTTCGTGCCCTTGTCATGTCGCCTCTTGAATTGCCCAAAGTTGCTCAGCCTACCGTTGGCAATATACCGCCGCCTTATTTGACGAAAGAGGCCATCCAAGGAGATCAAACAAATAAAGCTGCTGCGAGACTACGAGCAATTGGCAGCCCTCAGTTTCTAGTTTTCCTGGAACATGTCGGTTTGAATAAGTACCTAGATGATATTGCAGTCCCGCAGTGGTTACCCTTCACGAGTTCCATTGCTGACTCCCTAGCCCGAGCAATCAGCAAGGTCTCTTTGCACATATGGTACTAGCAAGGGTCCTCCTGTTCTTGCGGAGTGTAGTTGGTGGCTGCCCTGCAGGGAAGACTGGGTTTCTCGTAGTAGCATACAAGCTCAATCCGATCCATGTTCAGTATGTTGGCCCTCCTGAAGCAGTCAACGTCTATTTGATACGTCTTAAGGAAACGCTTGATATCCTGCTGTTTAAGTATGGAGGACAGCCTGCACCAATTCGACCAATTGCAACCTCCAACAAAGGGCGCACGGCCCTTTACAGCTACCACACCACCCTTGTCACCAAAGTTGTTGAAAGTGTAGTTGGGTTAGCTCTACAGCAAGGCACGTACACATGGTTTGTTGAAGCACCTTTCCTGCGCACCTTCCGTGAATTTGGATGTGCCCTCTGGAGGTTAGCACAGTGTGCATTTGCCAAGGCTGGCATCCTGGACAAAAATCCCTTTGTCAATCACTGCCACAGTGTTCTGGCGCAACTGCCCTTAATCCTTATTGAGGGCTGCATTGAAGAACATTGTCTATATGTGCTGTCTGCCACTGCACAAGCATTGTGCTCACGTGAGCAAGCGGCAATTTGGGCTGCCGAACTTCCTTATGCGTACTGCATTCTCTCTCTCTGTCAGACCACGCTTGCCCGTGCAAGCAGTGAGTTTGACTACCTTGCTACTTTTGATGCCGAGGGTCAGCATCCAGGCATCGTACTTCCAGTAGAACAAGCCGTCATAACATTCGGACAACAACTCTTCCAAGACACAGCTGTTGATGAATGTTCAAGCCTAGCAGTCGAGAATGGTGTTTACGTTTGCGTTTACGGAGATGCTGCTTGTGTACTCTTTCAGAGAGCTCAGGCTCTCCTTATGGAATTATGACGAAGATTGCTCTCTTGCCTATCGGCATTCTCCGTTTAATACAACGTACCATCTCGACTGGGCTGCGTGCATTCTACTGGATTTCTAAGCGTGAACATTGTGGCAGTACGCTTACTAGGGTCTCTTCCTTCCACTTTTTAATTCACTTTTTTTCCTAGAGTTGCATATAGGCGCATTAGGGCGCAGGATTTCCTAGCAGTTTGTGGCTTTCATCACACGGTTGAATTGGAAGATGCGATGTGGGCACTAATACGGTTACTCCGGAATCACAGAGATTGGGATAATGCTGATCCCACCAGCTACACATCGCTTCTTCCTCCTATCATGCCCAACAATGTGGCCTCGTTACAAGTACTGCCGTGGCACTTTTGGGACTTGTGTCGGCAAATCCTTGACTTCCGGCTTCAGCGCCCAACCAATCTCCCTGTGCCCATCCGGCGTTTACATAGCTGGAACCTAAATAGCTGGCATCCCGAAACTGCGGCCCACGCCCACAAAACGTGGGTTATACGTACTCTTCTCAAAACTGCACCGGTCCTACTGCAAGAAACCAAGTGGACGCATGTACAGCTACGGCATCTTGCGCATACTTGGCCGGACATCCAAGTAGCTGCGGCACTAGCTAAACAAGACCCGAACCTCCAGGCAGGAGTGGCTATCCTTCTCCCTCCTGGCTGGAGGGTCAACAGCCGAAAAGTCCTTGTTGACCATTATGCTGTTGCAGCATGTGTCTCCTTCCAGGCCTGCCAGATATGGATAGTGTCTGTCTATCTACCTCCTAACAGTCCACGTGCTCTGGTTGATAAAGCGTTCCAAGCCATCCTTGCACTAGAGGAACACCCTGTTTTCATTGGAGGTGACTTCAACCGTTGTGATCAACATCATCCACAAGCCTGGGAAGATTTCCTTAGCCAAGCTGGATTTACTGATGCTGATCCGACCTTTCCGACCTATTGGTACAGTCACCAACAAGGTTATCAATTAGAGTCA